AGATAAGTTTTCCAGCGCCTTGCTAATGATGTTTTCAGGCTTCGGGGAGAGCAATGGACCATTGGACAGAGGACAGGCAGGTGAGCAGTTGATTGAAAACCAAAGCAGAGGAATAGCCCGGGATGGTGGCCAGGGAACAAAGGAGGGCAGACCAAGATCAGCCAGAAGGAACGGGGAATGCTGGTATCAGTGTTGAAGCTTACGGAACAGGAGAACCAGCGTCGGCTCTGACAGAGATCAGACCAGGACCGAGTTTAGTACTATGACTAAGTTCTACTAAGAAACAACCAAGTTACCACAAGATGCAATGGAACCATCTGGCGTCTGCCACAGGAATCCAGCTCCTATTTAGAGGCACCTAGTGATTAGTTTGAATATGTGCAGCTGGAGTTACACCTGCCTGGCTCACCCGGCAGGACAAGAGGTAGGACACACACACTTACATGACTCAGCTAAGTGGATATGACAGTTGGTGTTTTAGCATGCTGTGTTGGTTCAGAATTATTAAATAAATGTGTAACTCAATACATTTATGTCTGTGTTTAAAATAAGAAACTATCAGATTGGTATCAGCTGATACTAAATGTTTGATACCACCATCGGTTTTGGAAGTGAAAAAGGTGGATCAGTGAATCCCTAGTCACAACATCATGATGATAATGTATTTATGATTGAATTTGTGTTTTACTTTTGCACAGTAAATATTATTTGAGTTTTGTATGGTAGGATGAGTTTCTTGAGTTGCCCTGGCGACCTGTCTAGATCATCATCTAGGTCATCGCTTTAGATAGGCACCAGCCCCCCTTGTCCTGTATGATCCATTAGGTTCCAGGCCAATTGCAGTTGGTGGAAAAACGGCAATACTTTATTTATCGTCACATATGGGGAGATGCCTCTGCCTGCTGTGTCTGGGAGCTCATAGCCAGGAGGAGCATTGGGATGCAGGCAGTCTGTTTTTTAAAGGATTTCACAAAGCAGTGTGGGCATGTGGACAGGGGGATGAGAGAGAAGGGTGCACATTGCTGAAAATGTTACAGATATTGTAATTTTGGTACACAATTATCCCAAGTCTACCAGACAATCAAGTGGGAAAACATTCTGAATATCTCTGTGTTTTGCCACTAAATTAGAATTGTGGCAAAGCATACAAATTTCAGCAATTGTTTTTTTTTTTTTTGGGGGGGGGCCTGTTTTGTTTTATTTTTCATTTTTATTAGTGCTAACTAAAGCTCTCCAAGCATTTGGAAGGATCTCTCAGTTATAAGAAAGGTAACTTCACTTCCCTGAGGATGCAATGGTTTCTGGAGGGAGAACTGAAAAAACTGGATTAGATATTTTATTGACACTTTTTTTCAGCATAGAAACATAATCAAACTGTATTTGTGGCAATATTAAGTGTGTTTTGTTTTCTTCAGTTCCTCAGATAAAGCAATTTGCAGACGTGACTAATGAAGATATTTCTAAAAATTAAAGATCTCACAAAAATACCTTAACAATTTACAATTACAGTTAATGGATTAAACTTCATTTGAGGCACCGTTTCACTGTATGAATTTTTAATGACTTCATATTTGGTGACGCAACTCAGTGAAATTCTTAGGACCCTGAATGCTTCTTTGTGCTTTCATTCCTTCACTGGAAATGTCTTCTCATATTTATTTATTTTACACATTAATAATCAATTATGCTGTTGTCCTATTTGGATCATTCCATAGTTGCTTGAATGAAAACAAAAAGAGAAGCTCACACACACAAACACACTCGCATACGACTACCACTTGTGTTTATGTGTGTACAGACGAACACAAGTATCTTGGTGAGGTTTCCAGATAAACAGTGGTGGCAGCTGCTACCATGGCAACACCATTGTGCTCCCTCCCCCTTGCCCCTCTCCCCGATGAATCCTCCCCCCACCCTTATTCTGGCTGGGTCGGTTCTTGGCTCAGCCGTAGAGTGAGGACTGAAGACGAGAGACAGGCGCTTCTTTTCACACAGAGGGGTGGACAGGAAGAGAAAAGGGACTAAAATCTAGTAGAGTAAACTGGAGTGAGTTGGTTGTTTTGGTGCTGGGGGGACAGGATGAGTGAGGACAACCACTCCTACAGGCTGGACCCCAGCGATCGCATCAATGGGCTGGGGCAGAGGAGAAAGAGACCCAAGAAGGTAAGTGGGTTACACATGGTGCTGGGTGTGGGGATGGAGAGGTGGAGCAGGTGGAGCAGATTATGGGGTTTATTGTGCTGTTTTTACGTGATATCCTGCCTTGATGGCTCCTGTCTCCATCTTTGGGCAACATGAAGCTTTTTCGATCAGGCTAGCTGGACCTGCTGAGGCTAGTTGGACCTCCTCTCTTCCCTGTGTTGTTGTCGTGGACTCCTCCATGTAGTAGTAGGAGGAGGGAGAGAGGAGGAGGCTCCTCTCACACACTGACAGGGTGGGTCCCTTCTCTGCTCCTCTGTCGCTCTTTGTGTGCCTCTGTTATTAACTTTGATCAGGCTCCTCACAGTGTTGATGACATGTTTGACAGCTTATCTGATTTCTGCAGCACCTAAGGCATGCAGCCTTCTGCCAACCTCTAGTGGGACACTTTTATATGATCAGAAAGGCATGTTAGAAATTTTTTAATTCAAATTCTAAAATACTTTATCAATCCCAAAGGAAAACTAAATGTTGTAACTCATTAATTTAGATTTTTCAAAGAGTTATTGAAGATTGTGATGACTGTTGGCAGGAAAGATCTTCTGCAGCAGTCTGTACTGCACTGAATCTGAAGAAGCCTCTGACTGAAGGTGCTCTGCCTTCCCAAGACAGTCTCATGAAGAGGATGGTCAGGGTTGCCCATAATTTTCTTGATTCTATGAAGAATCCTTCTTTGCATTGTCATCTCCAGAGGTTAAACACTCGTCACCAGAACAAAACCAGCCTCCTTTAGATCCCTAATGAGCCTTTTTAGGTCCCTTGTTCTGATGCTGCTGTTACTTACTGTAGTGTCTCAGTCCAGTCTGTTGTCAAGCCCAACACTGAGGTATTTATATTTCTCAACCACTTCCACTTCTTTTCCAAAGATGGAAATTGGGTTTGACCTGACCCTGGTCCTCCTGAAATCTACAATCTCCTATGTTTTGTTCACATTCAAGATGAGATGATTGTTTCCACACTATGACACAAAGCGCTCCACCAGCTCTCTCTACTCAGCCTCTTGTCCATCACTGATACAACCGACAACTGCAGAGTCATCTGAGTATTTGTGTAGATGACATAAGTTTAAACTTGTGCTGGAAGTCTGAACTGTGCAGAGTGAAAATGAATGGTGAGAGAACAGTCTCTAAATTCTGTAGCATTTTGAAGGAGGTTTTTTATTCATGCATATTACCTTACTCAGGCTATCAAAACATTTGTTTTCATCAAATCCAGTACTCGTATATCTGTACAATTTATGCTAATTTTTAATCTTGGTGAATAATTTCCCTTCAAAATGGATCTTTTTTTTTGTTTTGTTTTGTTCTATAAAAATAATATAATTTGCTCCCTGAATATTTTTATATTCTTAGACCATATTTAAATTAAGTTTGTGTAATTTATATTTCTTCTCAAGTTGGTGGTTTAGATGTCTCTAATAACGTGTTAAACCAACAGAAAATTATAGTAGTTCTCTTCCTGTTTTATCTATTCATTGTGGGTTTGGGTCACCATCCTTTATTTTCTGGTATACTCCAGACAAGTCAACAGCCAGTTTAGCAGTCCAAATGAAATGGCAACTAACATCAAGCAGCTTCACATTTGAAATGTTTTGCTAAAATTATGCAATGTTGCCATGTTTATATAAAATTTATTAAATATTTTTTAATATATTTTTTTAATCTGTCATTGTCATGACAGTTTGAAACATATAATCTGTGAAAACGTCAATCTCCTGTGCTGTCTCCCAGTGCTAACTAGAAACACCCAATCAGAGCCAGGAGGCGGGTCTGTCAATCAGTCTCGTATGGCATTGTGTCCCACTCCCCCTTGTATAACTGCACTGGTCTCAATAATTCATAGATTATGGTAGAACCATGGAACACCATGAAAACTATAAAAAAAATATTAATCTTTAAGGATAAACTTCCATAAACAATGTGTAATACTGTGTTCTTTTTTCTTTCTTTCACAGAATTGCAGTATACAAAGTTTAACAATGTTACTTTACTTTTTTAATATTACTGTGTTGCCCAGTTTAAACCACTTGCAGACTTAAGGTGAAGCCTTTGTGCTGTTCTCTGGATTATTTTACGCTCAGTCCACTCCCATTTTGCTGTTGTGTGTTGCAACAAATCTTTCTAACTCAATAAACCCACATAAATTCTAAGAAACATGTTGCAGAAACCTGACTTAACTTCTTAGCAAAATATTGTTCAAAGAAGTTGCAATGTTTTGACCACAGGAAAACAGCAACTTGCCAACATCTGGGTTGTCATAGCAATAAGAAACAAATGACAAGTGACAAATAATTGCTGTGACATACTCTACTATGATACAGCTAGCACTGCTAGTTAGCAAAGACACCTCAACGATTTTTCTGTTGCGTTGTTTTTTCAGCATTAGCACATTCAGCAATGACTACTTGAGGTTTACTGACAAAGGACCTCCATCTGTTTTTCATTGGTTGTTGGGAGAGGTGCATTTCTTCAGATGGCAATAGTAGCTAAGGGAGGAGGTGGTGGTTGATCTTTTCACAGATTATCTGCCTAACAACATACTCTCACAAAATGGTGACAGTTATAATAAATATATCAGAGATGTATACTTTACAAAAGTTACATTCTGCAGCCTTTAGGCCAGAACTCATCGGATCCATTTTGACATCTGATCCAATGGTAAATTAGAACCCGTTAAAGTTAATGTGGGCTTGCAGACTACTCATGATTGCCTGTGACTGCGTCTCAGACTGTCCGACCAATCTTGGTTTAAAACTGCACTGTAATTTGATGGGAATCTCATGAGTGAGACAGAAAGTGAGACATGGTGGCAAAGTAAAACACATCCATTTATGGGATGATACAAACTAAGAAATTTTACTGGGGAAAAAAATAGCCAGCCAAGGCAGGAGATCAGAAGCACAAAAAGAAATGAAAGAGTGAAACTGTATTCTTATCTGAGCTTATTCAAACAAGTTTTGGTTTATTGCCAGACTGTTTTCGCTGGCGGGATTTCTGATACATGCTTTCGTGTGAATACTTAATCTCTCGGGTCCACTGGTTTTGAGTCTATGTCTTTAAAAAAAATTGGAACAGTGCGTGAAGACTTGGACCCAAGTGGTGTGTTTTGGCACTTAATGTTGACCTCTTTCTTCCAACCTCCTATCTGTCCAGTCTCTGTTGGATATGTTTGATCCTGCCAGAAGAAAGAAACCACGCACTCTGGGATTTATTCAATTGTTTAATGTAGTGTGTTATGGGTTGGTATCAAGGCTTTTTGTTAAAAAGGTTATGTAGCTGGGTTTATGCAAGTCCCTTACAATTTTTGAACATGCAGTGTGTTTTTGACACACTACAGTTGCACCAGCTTCAAACAGTGTGATTATTGGCCAAAATGGACAAAATATTTTGTCAATTTCAAAAATCCCTGATGGTGTATTGAAATTGGTGATCTTCGGTCATTCATTGTCTCACACACACTTTGATGATTTTGGAGCTCCCAAGGACAAAAAGCAGTCCACAATGTCAAGTTGTGTCCAATATGTTTTGGGGAACATTTCAGCTGCAAGCAACATCTGATTAGTGTTATCTTTTGTCTTGTCCTATGGAGTGACTGAGTCAATGGGTTGAGCAGTCGTCTTGAACTTCAGCTTTCTTCTTCCATGGGTTGATGTGCCACTGGGCAAGGCACTGAAGTCTTATCTTACATGCCTTTCTAATCATATGGATGCATCCCAGCCCAGCCTGGAGTGCTTCTCACCAGTCACTCCAGTGGCATTGTTTACACCCTCAACTTTGTGTAAAACTTTCTACACAAGTTGTTTTGAATTTTGCCGTTTCTTTATGTGATACTTCAAAATGAGCATAAACAACTTTGATTTCAGAAAAGCAGTAGCTATGTTTCCATCATGGACTGGATGGTTGAATCGAACTCTCAATGTGACTCCTGACACCACCGGTTATAAAGTTGTTTGCTGTTTTGATTCCTTAATTTCTAAGGTGCGATCTAATCAGAGAAGTCTTGGTGTTATTTTTTTTTTGTATTGTTCTGAAAAGAATTTTGTTAAAGTGCAGAGATTGAAAACAGAAGTTTGCATACACCTAATAGAGACTTATTAGACGCCTAAATTAGCTAATTTATCCTGACATAAAGTTGCTGGAGCTCAAAGACAGTTCTGTGTTGTGACAAATCAGAAGAAGAAGCAGTGAGTTTACTCTGAATATCTTTTTGCATGACTCTTAGACTGAGGGAAAGCAAGGCCTCTGGCTGAGACAGGTAAGCAAGACAATAATGCTGAAACTACAAATTAA